AAGGGGCAGTTGCGCCTAAATTCAATGTGTCAGCACGGCCCGGTTCGCCGGAACTTGAGAGTTCGGTCAGGACCAACAACGAAGAACCTGCCGAACCAGAGCGATTTACAGCCTGGTTCGGCAGAGCGATTTACAACCAAGTGGACTTGAACAACAACTCGAGTCCCAAATTCCAATCGAGTACGCACGATTTGTTTTTGGCGCAGTCCCTTATCGTGAACTTTCTCCTGGAAGAAGAGAAAAACATCCCAGAAGTGATCAAAAAGAGTCTGAGGAGATGCACTGACGATTTTCCGAGCTTCTCGGTTCTATTCTTGTCAGGAAGACGGATCGGCGTTATTAAACGATATCGTCGCCGAATTCCTGGAGCATGTCTAGGCCGGGGCCGATCCCTGGGATAGAGCCCTCAGCCAGCGAGACCAGGAGTGTTAGAGGTCAATTGTTCGTAAGCGATTAGCTGGAATTCATGGAGTACAATCTTGGAAGATCGGCGCGCAGCGTATCCTGTGGGGCGTGGGGTGCTGCGCTGAGACCGCGCCGTCCGTGGCTCGTTGAAATATCGGCAGATTAGAACGGGACATCAGGTCGGCTGGACTCGGAACGATTTTCTTTTCAAATTGACAAGTTGTAGTTTTACATGCGTCTACAGTGAGCATTTTGGAAAAACCTAAGGGACTCGCTGTTGTTGTGTCGTTGTGGGTGCGAGAGGGTCCGCTTTGGAAAAACACCTAAAAACACCCGTGTTCATATTAAGGTTGAGACCGTGAGAATTTGTCCAGTTGACCACCGGTTCTTTATCAGTTTGCCGAGTGGCGCATCACCACTCTTTCTCTCACTTCTCAATTCACTTTGGATCTTTGATTCGCTCTCTAGCTAGGCATTTGGCATACACCAACAAAGTCCCACCGTCAGGATGCATGTCGCTGAAGCGCCAAACGGATCTCTAAATTCATCTGTAGATTGCGAATCCTCGGCGCCAGAAAATTCAAGGAGTGCTGACTGCAGCGGTGGTCACGGTGTATGGCTAGATTACTCTTCAAAGAAGGTATCTCTCGCTATTTGTCCTTTGGCGATCCGGTCAAGTTCTGCTCTGATTCATCTGCTCCGACCTCCCATATCAGGCATAATGTGTCGGCGTCTCTCTTGTCCACCGGGAACAATCTAGGATGGGGTACTTAGATGGAGTCTGATGGACCAGCGCGCGAAATGAAGAGATCACTCTCATGTCAAGGTTGCCGCGCGGCACGATTACTTTCTGAAGTATTCTATTCATTCACTTTTTTGCAAACACGCGACTGACACTCCATCGGTGCTAGCCAAGTGCTAGCTCATCGCTAACTTCAAGTATTTACATCGGGCTTCAATCTCCGCCATAAGGACTTTTTTTTTTACCTTGGTGCGTCCACCATTGAACATGGGTCACCATAGGTCACCATGGATGGATGGAATGACGAGAAAAGCTGGTAGCTGTGCTGTTCGGCCTCTCTCGGCCGCAGTGGACATGGTGAGATTTTATCCATGGCCTAAACAAGTCAAGGCCGTGGTATTGGCATATCCCAAAACGGTTCAATAACAAGCGGATCGTTCGTCCCTTCGCACCCGGATTTTGAAGCACCCTCGAGTTTACAGCTCTTCGGATCGCCCCGGTCCGCCCCCGAAGGCGAAGACACGATCTTCTGTCTTCGTCTTCGTCACGCTTCAACTTGCTTGTCAGGCGGCACTCCGACTCGGCACAATTATTAACTTAGCTCAGGAAGTTTACTTTCTACGTTCATCTGGCTCAGGTGGAACCATGCGGGTGGTACTCGAGTGCGGACGGATCGCATTCTCTTTGGATTCTGCGCCCCGAAATAATTAAACTTAAGACACATTCGCACCCCGGATCAGCCCCACAAAACTTGCGCTGACTTCCAGTTCTCGACATCCGCCCTTCTCTTCAAGCTTCTAGGTTCCAGGGTAACGCCTCCTGCGTCACACCTCACCGGCACCTGTGCCTAAGCTGTCTCAGAAATGATCTCGATTTGCTCCACAAATCCAGTTCAATTCATCGGTTTATCTTATCTCATCCTTCAATTCAACACTTCCTGGAAATATTCCCAAGCAAGCGGCCCAAAAAAACTCTGAAAAATCCCACCACCCATACTCAGCTATAGGCACGCGACCCCTGGGATTCTATATTCGTTAGACGGTGGTTAATCTAGAGTTCAGACCACCTGCGTGCCTGATGATCGTCCTTCTCCGTCTCGAATTTTCGTCTCCGGCGTCCGAAGAGGTTTATTTTTTATTCTATCCAAACTCAAAAAATGCTGACGGCATCTTTAACATTGCAGCCGATTTCAGGTTCACTAACATCACTAAGCCTACATGTGGCGCAAGTCGGACCCCGCTCGTGCATCTTTGCTGCGTACTCCGCCCATGAAAGGCCCAGTGTAATGATATTTCTGGTGAGGATGTTTATGAACTACGGCAGAACGCGACAGGTCACGTATGTCTGAATCGATGCGTGGAAGTTCAAGCTCCACAAGTTGCTGCGTATGGGTACTCGAACGCCATGTCGGAGTCACCGGCGCACTGGGTTACCGCATAGAGTCAAGTACGAAATGCGGACACCGAAGTTTTGACGGATTTGGACAGGATCTGCGAAACGGTGCACAGATTGACCATTAATTAAAGTCCTTCTTGTTCACCCAAGGACACTCGGAAGAAAATCAGAACACGCCACGTCGCGTTCATCACTCCTCCACTACTTACGCTCAACTGATCTGCCGTACTAATATTAAATTCAAACATGGACATCATGCAGGTACTAGTAAGAAACGACCAAACGCCGTTAGCTTACCGCATTTCAGGGACTCCGCCTCGGACTACGATGAACGTCTGTTCGTTGTCCGTTCGTTCTTACGAGATACATATGCAACTGACGACAAGAACGAAATATTCCAGAACATGCACTTGGTAAATTGAAACATTGACAGCGAATGAGTGGAAGTCAGCTTAATTCATGGCTGGACGGGTGCTTTCCTGGAATATGCATCTGCCGGTAGTATGTCCATTTTAGGGAATTAGAGGTTCAAAGAACTAACGTCGACATTGGACAGCGGTAGATTCGTTACTCCGGAAATTGAAGTGTGACCACGAAAGAAGCGTGGGTATAAGATAGAACAGAAAAACTACTGTGCTTTTACGAGGTAGATCTTCCAGGTTGACATTAGTCCTTCGGGGAAAAAATCGAAAAATGCGTGAACGAGACGCGCAGGCGATTTGGTGAATGCCGCCGACGGGATTTGAGCGCGTTCCCCCTTTTTTCTGCGTACATTCTCCGCGTTCCGAGAAAAAACGCTGAAGGCGCCATCCGGAATATACCGGTGGCTGCGTGGTTCATTCTTTGAGCGAGTTCACTGCAAATCTCGGACAATATTTCAAGCTTTCTTTTCTTTATCCTCCTATTCCACGGCAAGTCAAAGAGGGTACATTATTTGAACATAATCACGTCCGCAAGTGGGCGGCGAATACATGGCGAGAACCCCAGGTCAAGATGAACTCGGTGTACGATGCTCATCGGGAGTTGCATCGTGCACTCCACCCGAAGCAAACAGCAGGGTGTCGATCGGGATTATGGCGCAGAGCATACGGCGAGGGAAGCGATGGAAGGCCAGGCAGCATGTGAAAGGCAAATAAGACGAAGACGCGGCGTAGGCAAAGCAGACAGAGGGTACGAAGATAAAGCGAGGCCAGAAGACTGGGAATGGAGAGCGCGATCGGGGTCGCGATGAGTGGTGCCCGCCCCCACGAGCATAGGCAATCGTCGGCCGATAACGCAGGCCAAGACCGATCCAGGATACCGGAACAGAGGACAATTAAACGCAAAGGTGCGAGGCTCGCGGGACACGTCACCTCGAACGCGAGATGGCCGTCATCCATATGGTGAGCGAACGGGAAGCTGAGCAGCAGTTAGACAGCCCTCGCGCGGAAGACGAGGCACTTGTGCGCGCACGTAAGGGTAGCCGCGGTCGTCCTCGTCTCTGTGTATCTCTATTTGAATGGAAGGGACCCTCGTACGTCGTTTCTTCATCTCCGAGTTGAGCCAAGTAAAGAAAGATGTAAGTATCACGATTGTACTTACCCAATGCGCGAACAGCCGTCCGAAACCAGCGGCCAGCGCCAACGTTGGCGCTCTCCATTCCTACTTGAAGTTCTTGAAGGCCGGTGCTTTTGGAAACCCTGCAGAAATCAAAGTCGTGGTTCAGCGTAAAGAAGCGAACACAGCCACCGGTAAGTTCCGACGCCACTTGTTTTTCAACCAGACTTTCTTCGGACGTTCATTCTCTTTACAGCTAAACCAGAAACGATAGACGTTTTCGATGGGCGATGAGAGTTCGGCTAAAGTTGATCAAAGTTCGGGCCGAGCATAGCGCGCTTCTCTCCGAACCTCGCATTCGAAAACCTCCACAAAATATAGCAGTAAGTTCCTTCTGCTCAACTAGTGTATCCCCTCGATTCCCTGACAGTGTAGGTAACGAGTGGAGGTGTGGAACGGCGTTGGTTGGTTGTGGCTGGACATGCTCCCATCAGCTTTAGCCGAACTCTCATTGCCCATCAAAAACGTCTATCGTTTCTGGTTTAGCTGTAACAGTAAGGTGTCATACCGCGTGTCTGCTAGCTGTGCCGCCGACATTGAGACGGACTCCTGTGATCGGTAAGGCTTTTTGAAGTTGTTCAACCAAAAAGATTCAACCACGATTCAGAGCTCCTTTTCTCTTCCATCCCCCCTCTCCACCTGCGATGGAATCGTGGCACACCAGCACCATGGCGAGTGCACCTGGCCAGGTTGGCGGAAGTCCAAACCATCAAGCAGGACTCGGCGGCTGGGTTAGGTTATTGGCCACAGCCCGAATCGTTTGAGCGTGAGCAGGTTGAACGCCCCAACAAAATCAAAACATCGATCTTCCTCCGAATTTTCTTTCGTCTTATCTGAGTGATTCAAGGATAGAGGTATCAACGGCTCAGTAGCACAGCGGTATGCACCTGCTGAAATTGTATTCGGTCGTATATAGTTACGCAGGAGGTCCTCGTTCGATTCGGGGTTGGGTCATAAATCGCCGGTACTAGTTTTCTTTTGCTCCCTCCTTCAATTTTCTTCCAACTCGGCTGGCGGGCGTGCTGAGATTCGCACATGACAACAACAGTTTGGGGCAGGAGATGAAGGCTACTGACTGAGTTGATCAACCTCAACCAGAGTTTCAACCACGTCCATCATGATTTCCCTTCCTTCCCGCATTGACAGTTTCATATAATATCTCAACCAACCAGGAAATTTAAAAGTGGAATCGGTTTAGTGCACCCAGTGTTGAAATTCCGATCCTTCCACTTGCTTAGGCGTGCGATTCGGGGTTAGATCGTGCCCGTTCTTTCTTTCCGATTTCCCGCCTCTTTTTAAAATTTATTTTTCCTTCCAAAGAATGCCAACCGCCACCGCGCACACCAATTCCAACGTCAAACGAACAACTTCACTTTTGCAAATTTCTTTCAAAAACCAAGTACAACAAAAAGGCATTTTAAATCGAGTCTCGACACGTCTTTCAGTTGCAAATAATCAACACCCAAAAAGAATGGAAACAAAAAAAAGGTATACGACAAGAAAGCAGCAGAGCGCGGTACCTAAAACCCAAAACCCAGCGAAAAGTAAACAAGTACGAGCAAGTAAGTAAGTAAGTAAGTAAGTAAATAAGCGGGTAGGGGGGGGGGGGACAAAGCAACCAAGCAAGCAAACAAGCAAAATAGCACAAGCAGTAGCGATAGGTAGGCCAGGCCGCGCGCAGCCTCGTTATGTATGTATGTATGTATCATTGTATGTATGTATGTAGGTAGGTAGGTAGGTAGGAATGTATCAGGGCGGTGTAATATGTATGGAGAGCGAGGAGTTATAAGGGGGTGGTTAACTTGATAGATAGGGTAGCGGGGGCGCATAAGCAGTTTCGTTCGTTCGTTCGTTCGTTCGTGGGGCGGGCGGGATAATAGCGGAGGTAATAACGCGGTCGCGGCGGTGGGTGGGGTGGAATTTAAGGAAAAGGAAACGGACACAGCGAGGAGGGCGTGGTATCATATGTACAGGTATTTGGGTTGGGTTGGGTTGCTTGATTTCGATTCGAGATTCGGTTTCGATTTTCGATTTTCGATTTCGGGATTTATTTCGTGGTGATAAAAAAAAATCTTGCATGCATGCATAAAAGCCGAGCCACGTGCGTGTATGTGTATGTGTATTGGCCGGCGTGAGAGCAGAAAAGACGTAGTAGAGCGTTGAAGACGAGCGGCAGTGGCACCGTCCGATACTAAATGGAATGAATGGGAGGAAAGGCGGGTGGTGTCGGTGTCGGTCGATCGACATAACGTCGAGCGCGCCGAAAAGCGAGGACGACGTGCATCGTCGTCGCCGCAGCGGTGCGGCGCGTTGCGCGCGGGGGGGAGGGAAGCCGACGTGCCGTCGTCGACCGCCCGCCGCACCCACCGCACCTACACACGCCCCGCACCGCCCCCCGCACCGCCCCCCGCATCCCGCACCGCCGACGCCAGCCGCGGGTCGCGCGTGCGCCCCTCTCTTGCGGCGGGGACGGAGGACTGCGGCGAGAGCGCGTCCATGGGCATGGGCATGAGCACCGCCCCCGCCAGCGCCGACGACGAGCCCGAATTATTCGCGCCCAACGCCGACGTCAATGCAGAGGGGGGTATCGTCGAGCCGCCTGCAAATTTCACACCGTCAGCGCTGCACACTCACCGAGGGAGAGACGACCGACCGACCTAGGAGCAAGCTCGGCATCTCCGCGTCGCCGTCGTCGTCGCCGTCGGCGTCCGCGTCCATGTGGTGCGCGGACGTTCCGCTCCCGCTCGCCACCGCGTTAGAGCTCGAGGAGGCCTGCGAAGACGCCGACGCCTCCAACCCCGCAGCCGCACCCGCGTCCTCCTCGACGTCCACCACCACCTTCTTCTTCCTCATCCCCCTCCGGCTCTCCGCGGGGGTACTCGCACTTGAGGGCGCGGCGCTGGCATTGGCTGTAAAAAAAAGGGGGGTGGTTAGCAACGCGTTCTCATAAAACGAAAGAGGGAATGAACAAAAGACAGAATAAAATGAAGCCAGGCGCTGCCACCGCGAATGACAGCCGTAGGCGTAAATGCCTCGTCTTGGCGCGCGCTTCTGGTCTCGCGCCGTCGTGCGTCGTGCGTTGTGTCATCGCGTCAACACAACAGAACATAATAGAAACCCTGCCAACCGCGCCACACCCCCGCGCACGTAAAAGCGTCGCGACGAAACAAAATAGGGGGGGGCGCATTGCGCATTGCGCAAAGCCAAGCCCCCGCACCGCCAAGCCCGCGCGCCATCCACTATCCCCAAAGCAGAAGGCACGAATCCCAAAGCAGAAGGCACAAGGCACCTAACGCCAGGTGCCAAGGAAGAAAAACGTGCGCGGCCCCTGTTGGCCTAGGGGGTAGGGGGGTGGCAGTGGGGAAGACGTAATGGATGGATGGATGGATGGATGGATAGCGGTTGGGTGTTGTTAGGGAGGGGGAGGTGGAGGGGAAGGGAGAGGGGGAGAGTGTGGAAGGGAGAGGGTGTGGGTGTGGAAGGGGGAGGTGTGGGTGTGGGTGTGGGTGGGGAAGGGGAGAAAAACGAAGAAAAAATAATCGGGAAAGGGAAGAAAGCAAAAATGCGAGAAGAAAAAAGATGCATATGCGTGCAGACACGAAATGAACTGAACTGAAATGAAGCCAACCAAGAGAGTGCGTCGGTGCGCGCCGTCGAATGTAAAGTTGAATCGAAAGATGGCGCGAAAGCCAAAAAACACGCACACACAGCATAGCTGGGCATGAAGCGAAGCGAAAAGATAACGAACCCCAAGAAAAAATATTAAAAAAGGTAGCCAGCGTGTAGCTGACTGAGTGCGAAAAAAAAACCTAAAAAACGCGCAAAACACTCACTTGCACCCAACCGCCGCCGCGCCCACCCCCTGCGTCTGCGCCGGCCCACACGCGATCTTGCGCCCGCGACAAAACAGACACGCCAGGGGCGGTTTTTTCGCCGTCCCGTTCCCATTCGCGTTGGAGTTGGTATTGGAGTGGGAGGCGTTGGACGACGTCGACGAGTTTGACTGGAAAAAAAGTTAGAAAGTGCGACGGGGGGAAGTGGAGAAGCGGGACGCAACACACCTTCCCGCGGCCCCGCTTGCCCTTGGCGCTCATGCGCCGCCCGAGGCGATCCCGTTCCACCTCCGGCTCTATTTCGCGTTCCCGTTCGGGCGAACTGGAGAGCGCGGAGCTCGAGTGGCGGCGCTTGCCGTTTGCGTTCAGCTGCGAGGCGGGCGCGTCGTTGTCGTTGTCGTCGTCCGCGTCTGCGTCTGCGTCTGCGTCCTCCCCGTCGCTCTCCTCCCCCTCGCCCTCGCCGTCCGCGCTCTCGCTCCCCTCCGCCTCCTCCTCGGCGCCGGCACCGGCAGCAGCGGGGGGGTGCGACGCCGCCTCCGCCTCGCGCAGCGCAATCACCGTGCTCATGAGCGGGCTCGCGGGGTAATACCCGATGCGGCGCTTCTCCTGCGGGCGCTTGCGGTCGCGCCGCGCCCTTCCACTTCCGCTCCCCTCGACACTGCGGTGTCGTGCCTGCCGTTCGGCGGAGTGCGCGCGCGAGCGCGTGAGGGAGTACGAGCTGTCGAGCGAGTGCGAGTGATGCGGGGGGAGGACGGGCACGGATACGGGCAGCGGGAGCGGCGGGTAGGGGTACGCGGGCGGGTAGCCGGCGAACGCGTGCGGGGGGAGGGCCTGCAGGGCCTGGGACGGGTGCGGCTGCGGCTGCGGATACGCGGCGGCGTTACCGTATGCGGGGACGGACGCGGAGGCGGGGTCGAGGGGGTACAGCGAGACGGGCACGGGCTGGTACGCGGGGTACTCGTCGTGCTGGGGGTAGTCGAAGCGCGGCGCGTCGACGGGGCTGCCGAAGGGATGCGAGGGGTCGGAGAAGGCACTGGAGACGGCGCTGGGGGGCGGGGTGAGCTCTTCGGGGAAGTAGGGTTGGGGGGGCGGGGATGGATGGTACGCAGAGGGCGGGGACGCGTTGAGGGCGAGTGCGAGGCGGGGTGGCCAGTCGTCAGACGGCAACGGCGACGACGCGATGCTGGGCCGGTACGCCCAGGAAGCAGGATCAGGGTACGGGTACTCGACGGCTTGATCACCAAAGTCGAGGAGCGGGGCGGCGTCGAGAGCGAGCATGCGCAGATGCTCTGCCTCGAGCAGCTTCGAGCGGCTAGACGGGCGGGCGTCGGGGAAGGTTGCGTAGAACAGCTCGTCGTACTGGGCCAGGATCGCAGCCATCGGGGACTCCATTCTGAGAGGATACTTGAGCCAAGCCTGCCTGTATATAACTCCTCATCAACTAATTATTATCCCCAGATCTCAGATCTACCATCCCTGTCACGTAATGTCCCTCTCTTTTGGGTTAGCCAGATCGATCGCTGCTGGGCAATCTGACCCCGCGGCTCCAGATGGCGCGTTTCCTGCCTGCCCTTGCGCTTGCCCGTGCGATTCTCGGGATTCAGCAGGGCGCGATTCTGCCACGCGGCCCGCCCGCCTATCCTTACAAAAAAGGCTGCATCCACCCTCGTTCCTGGGCCTGATGGCGCGTGCCCCCCTGCGCGCTTATACCCCCTGCTGCCAGATCCCGCCTCGCCGCGTAAACGGAGAGAGGCGCGACGAACGTCACCCTTGACGCATCCTGACCTCCTACAACGTACGTCCGCAAATCCCATTCAAATTCAATCCTTCAGTGCGCTCGAAATAAAGAAGCATCAGGTGGACAGATTCAGGATTGGCAATTGTCAATATTCAAACATTCCCGCAACCCGCCAAGCCGATCCGATGCGCGTCAAGTGAACCCGCGCGCGCGACGATGATCCACGATTATTTTATCACAATTTCATCCCAGGCGCACCCAAAAAACACTCAGGAGCCCTTCCTTCCTCTCTTCCTCTATTTTTTATTAACCCACATCCATTCTACTCGTCCGGCCCCCCACCGCCCCGGGCGCGGATCCCCCAATTTAAGCACTTTAGGTAG